GACAAATCTTCTTACAATTAGGAAAAAAACCTTACAAATTTAAGAGTGTAACATATCTATACTCAATATCTGAATAACATTCACAATATGTTAATAACATAGGGTTTTGACAGGTGACACACGAGAATTGAGATCAATGTAGTTAAATTTAAGATATGATTAGGATTGTAAAGGACTTATAAAATTGTAAATTATAGAGTTTATAAAAAAAAATAAAGGATGCAACATAAAAACACGCTTCATTTTTAGTTGCATTAACTTTTAATTATGTTTAAGTTTTACTTGAATTGAATTCATTAACATGTAAAAAGATATAGTGCAACAAGTAATTTAGAAAAAATGTTGATCTATACTTTGTTCCACGATCCTAAATATTTTGTTGTAGCACAATCATATATATTTGAATAAAAAATAGTATGTAAAATTGCACGGTATGTCTAGTTTTTAATAAGTTGAATTATTCAATGTTTATCATGTAGGATAACTTTTTTGGGATCTTGTCTTCTAGTGTACTAGAATATTTAACCAATGTAGTAGAATCTTTAACTAACGAAGAGTATAATAAAGGGTAAGAATGAAAAAATTACATATAACACTGTACCAGTAGGGACCGGACGTCAGATAAGTCGGAAGTCTACAGTGGACCAAACACGCTACTATTTGGTTCGTCATCAAAGGGTTCGGCGCAACAAACCGGACGGTCATGCGTCCGAGATCACGCAACCTTACCTCGTCATCCGGATACACTAAAAGGCCGGCCGGACATGCCGTTTGCTACACATGCCGTCTATGGGGGTTGGCTGGTTCAAAAGCCGAACTTTAGGAGACCGGCCGGCGTTACCGCTAATTAACCAGGTTTAAGGTAAGTTGAGGTTAAAAGCTATTGGGCTGAATTTGGGCCGTGATTAACTTTTCACTAATCCCAAGCCCATAGCGAAAACTATAAATACAGATCCAGGGGTGAGTGGTAGATAGGTTGCATTTACTGCACATTTATTACTGTTCGATAGAAAAACGTCATTGCTTTCAACTGACTTTGACATCGGAGAATCTTTCGCAGGTCTCCCACCCGCGGATTGAGGAAGAAATTGAAGAGCGAGTACGGAGGACCGGACACACGAAGCACGAGCCAAGAAGAACGTGGAGACATTGGACGACACAGTCCTTCACATCCGAAACAAACACTAAAGTTTTTTGAGGTTTGGTTTTCTTGCTTATGGTGAAATATAAAGTCGTTATGTTTTCTATTGCCTTTCTTTGGTTGAAAAACCTCTAGGTTAATTATTATTTATGCAGATTTTATATAAATATGATATAATTATCTCTCAATAATAATGATTTCTAACCTACTTTATGGGTTGATATCTTTTTATACCGAATATATATATAACGTTTGATGTTTGGTGATAAGAAAAAAATGAAGCACATCTTGTAATAATGGACATTTCAATTGTATAAGTAGTCTTTATTTATTTTCTAATTGCTTTCTTCAAATGTGGAATGTTATACTTATGAGAACTTTTTGACTTTAATCTCAATCATTCAAAGTTAAAAATATCTGTATTAAAAAAATATACTTCTAATAAATATTTGACAGTGTTTACAAACTTGCGAAAGATTTAAAAATATCTGATCAAAGTTTAATATTATATGTGTGTCCCTTGAGATACAGTTAAGTCGAGATACAATTAAGTTTTAATTACTCTTTGAATAAATAATAAAGGACTACGAATGGAAAGAGTACTTCAACATCACTGAAAATGTATTGAAAAATTTAATATACTAGTTATAGGAGTGGATCATATACTTATTAATTAAGGGGTTAAACTTATTTTAATAAAAGGCATAACTTTTACTGTTCTTAATTTATGCAGAACATGAAAGAACCTTTTGGGTGATTACCATGATGATATTAAGGATAAGAAAATGCGACAACAGACTTTGGAAATTGCTGGTTTGATCTTAATTACATTCAACATATATAGCATAGCTTTCCACCTATCCTACTACAAAGTTGCTTAATCGCATATCCATCCAAACTTCAATTATTTCTGCAATTATTTATAAACTAATCCTAATAAGTATTAGCTCGACCCTCTAAAATCTCATGTTTGTAGAACATAGACGACAAGACTTTTGACCGATGACTTTTCCCTTGCAGTTGTCATATTCGACAATCAATTATGTTTCTTCACTTATCCAAAAGAACAGTTGAGGTATTCAAGGATAAGCATAGTCTCATATTTATTGTAAATTTAAGTGTAATTTTAATTCTCACCATATTTTTTTTTAAATTCAAATATAAATTTAAGTTTTATATTAAATAAAAATAAACATGAAAAAGTGAAACATGTATCAAATAAAAACGTGTTAATTTATTATTTTAAAATTTTGGGTTGAAAATTATATCAAATTCTTATATAATTGAATTCAGGTTTTATTAATGTTGTATCTCTCACATTGTTAGGATACAAACAAAGTGTCACCTTGAAAAAAGAGACTCGTATGTTTGTGCTTGAAAGAGAGAGAGTGTATTAACATGGAAGTGACTCATTCTTGAAGGGAGAGATTGTTAAAATTCAAAGTGAGTTTAATTCCCACATTAAATAAAAATTAGAAAGTAAAACACTGATTGAAAATACATTAATTCATTACCTTAAGATTTTTGATAAAAAGTGGTATCAATCTGTTATATAATTAGACCCATGTGGTATTGAAATCGTATCTTCAAAAGTGAACATCCTCCTCTGTATATCCAACATAGATTATTTGTACAAAATCAAGAGTTCAAACCTTAATAAAAGTGAAAGATAGTATCTATTAGGATTAGTCTCACAGTGTTTGTAAGTTACAGGAAAGCAAAGAGTGAGAATTGTGATTTTCTTTTTCTTCTCCAGAAAGCTTAGTTTGCCAACTCGAACCTTTCCTTCTCAAACTTATATCTGAAAAAGAATATTTAAGGTCCTTTAGTGCAGTGCCTGACCCTTTACGCGTGTGGCCCCATTTCGGAGAAATTTAACTCTGAATAAAGCTCACTTTATTTATTTTCTTTCACAAGTGTACGTTGATGCGTACGATTTTGGCACCAGCTAGCCTGTTCTGTGAGCGATGTGTGAATTATTGTTGAACCAAATACAAACTCACCAAGAATAGCAAATAATAATTGAATTTAAAGCTTCCAAACAGTTTAATAATATACAGAGAGAAAAACAGTTAAAGTTGAAAGCATGGTGAGTGACCGTGTTAAGAAGCTAGACTAATGGGAAAAACCTATGAAAATAAAAGGGCTTTAACCACATGGATACGGAATCTTTAAAATTCATGATATTTGGTTTCTGTGAATATACATGAAAGCACACCTTCTCGTGAATGCACTTTATTAAAACACTCGGTAAAGGGGAAAAGCCGAAAAGTTTTAGGTTGACCTCTCGCTCTGTTAGTGCCCAGAATATTCTTCTATTATTAAATAAATAATAAATAAATAAATAAATAAATAATCTCTTTGCCAGAACTAAACTCAAAATCAAAAAGGAAAAGGGTAAAGGAATGCAGTTGCAGGGACACTTTTTTTTTGTAAGTTTATTCTTTAAAAATTTACAATAGAAAATGTAAATTTAAAAGTATAGATTAAATTTCTTATTAAATGGAAAGTTCAGTTTGTTCTGTCCACAAAAGTAACAGCCATAAATCAGTTTAAAAGCGCCATAATAAAGACATGATGATGAGTATTTTTCTTTTACAATGACTTATGTTAGTCATAAATTATGTCGTATGGTTTCTCTGTCTTGGTTTTATATATTCTTTCTTGTATACTCCATATAAAGCATGTCACACTGTTTGATTTGTCCTTTTTTTTTACCTTGTATAATAATATATGATATGATAGTTATTTAATTGTACCACAATAATAATTTAATTTGGACACATTTTCACTATAGATATGTTTTACGTGTATGTCAGAATATTAATGAATGATAAAACTATGTGTAGAGTGAGTAATGCGATTTGAAAAGCATTGTTTGAAAATGTTGGTGTAGCAGTGTTTTTTGGCTTTTCCATTCTTTTACAAAAGCTCTTGTTTCTTTCTTTTGGCAAAGGCAGACAAAAATCAAGGGGGTTTTGAGTGCAGGGTAGTGTGTTGAGTGGTCTTGGATAGCATCATCATCGCCAAAGAAATATGCCATGCATAAAACCAATGCATTGTCATCATGATCCTCCACGTTTTCACTTAGCCTCATGTAGCACATGCAACCCAACGCCTCTGTTATTACAGGGGATACAACAACTTTTCTGCACGGATAAATGCAAATCCATTAAAAATGCACTTGTCATTCTTAACAATCATTATAAACCACTGTTTTATGTTAATTAACACTAGCAGATGGTCACCACCACATATGACTAATGATTAAGGATATTCATTGCTTTTGAAACCTGAGTCACATGTGCTTGAAATATAGAACCCATTACCGAAATAGTAGTGGAGAATGATGAGATGGTCGAATCGAATTACGATTCTGTGAAACAGAAGTTATGCAGGGCGAAGAAGGCGAGGAGAGCAGCATTGGAAAGCAACGAAAGAGCCAAATTGAAAAGCGGGGAAGGAAAAGAGCAGTTAACATATGGGACAAATGATAAAAGTGAGAAAAGGACAGAGTTTAAAGCAACTAACGACCCTGCTTCGAGGCAATGGCATAGTAGTGGGCAAATTATAAAGGTAGAGAAAAAAAAGAAGGCTCAAGAAACTTGTAGGAATAAGCGTCATAACTAATGAGGGCACCAAACACCTCATATCAGCGACGAAGGACACCTAATAAGGACATGTACGTGCCAGCCCCTTTTTTGTCCACCCTCCAAAATCTATTTACAATCATTAAATTATCAAGAAATTTGGCACCAACTTCGTTCCAATACACAGCATACAACAAAATCAAATTTGAAATAGATTCCAATTTCCATCTCATTATTTACATTATGCATAAACTGACAGTAACAAATTCTGAAAGTGGCATTGCCATTTGAAAATATATCATCCGTATTGGTTAACTAATCACATCAAAATCACAAGCAAAACATCTCAAAGTTCTCGTGGAATTCTAAAAACCAAAATTGAAAAAAAGAATAGAAACAGTCTAGACTATAGCCTCTAGTCTATAACCCTGGCAGGCCAACTGGCCAAGACAATCCACCACCATCGTCATTATCATCGTCCATCACCACCCAGTTGAATGAAATCAACCTCTGACACCTCGCTCACATGACAGAACAAGCATTCGGGTTCTCGTCACTGAAAATTTGTGGTGGTGGTGCATGCAAGTGAAAGTGCATCTGCTCCGGGTACACTGGCACATAGCTGTAGCCACCACTATTTCCGTGTCCATAACCATAACCAAAGCCAAAAGCAGGTTGTGGCAAATACTCCATTCTGCTGTAATCTATTTTCTCTATTACCCCTTCGTTACTGTCTCCTCCACCACCACCACCACCCTTGTTCTTCTTCTTCCCCGATCCTTCCTTGTCCTTTTCTCCTTCCTTGTCACCCTCCTTCTCTTTCTTGGGAGGGACCACCTCAACCTTCCTCCTCAGCTTCTCCATTAGATTCTCCGCCAGAGCCTTAACATCCATTGTCCCTTTCACAGTCACCGTTTCCTTTTCCTTGTCTATAGCCATCTCTTTCACTCCTACATCATGTCCATAACCAATTAGCCAAACCAAGAGACAAATCAAAACAATACCCAAAAAATAAATATAAAGAAAACCAAGTAACCAACCTTTGGTTTTCAGCACAGTCTTGCCAATCCTGTCCAAACAACCCTGGCAATGCAGTGCCATCTTCAGAACCGCGGTAGTCACCTGATAATTAAATTAAGCAAAATTAACGACAAACGACAAATAAATTCATAAATTAAACAAATAATAACCAACAGAGATCACCAAACAGTGCCGGAACAAATTAGGAAATTAAAATAAAATATCCCAGGCTGGCAGTGGCAGAGAAAGTAAAATAAAATAAAATAAAATCTGAAAAGGTTGGGACCAGAAATGAAGAAACGAATGAAAGAACGAACCTCTTTGTCCTTGTTCTTCTTGTCCTGGGTTTTGTTGTTGGCTTTGGCGTCTTTACTCTCCTCCTTCTCCTTCTTGGGCTGCGGAGAGACGATTTCCACCTTCTTCTTCATCTTCTCCGCCAGGTTGTCCCTCACCTTCACGGCGTCAATTTTCCCGGTCACTGTTACCTTCCCGGCGTCGCCATCCGCCTGCACCGTCTCCACACCTGCAACAACAAGCAAAAAAATTTAAAAACACATAAATTAACCAACCAGGACGGAGCAAGTAACCTCGGAGGAAAGGGAAAAAAACCTTGGAGAGAACGGAGGTGGCGAGTGATTTTGGAAGCGCAACCGTCGCAGTGGAAGTCGATCTTCAAAACGACGGTTGTGGTGCCGTCCTCGTTCTCCTTGTTGCCGTTTCCACCACCTGACTTCTTTTTCTGCAACACCAACAACACAGGTTAGTTACTTACCATTGGCAACAACGTAACAGAGTGAAGGAAATCAGCGAGTGAGAGTAAGTTACCGCGCCCATGATCGTGTGTGTGTGTGTGTGCTTGAGAGAGAGTAGCGAGTGAATGTTGGTTTGGTAGTGGTAAGTGTGAGTCTTTAATATGAGTCCGCGTGAGTATTTATAGAGGAAGCAATAACTATGCACATGGTGCGTGTTTATGATGTGGGTGAGTGGGACCCACTGTTGAAGTGTTTCCTTCTTTCACAAGGAGCTTGGTTTAATTATGTTGACCGGACCAAGAAACTTCTTCCCTGTTGCCAAGCAAGCGTCTGCGTCCTTCTTTCAATTGGGCTGGGCCTATCGCAATGCACCTCTGCAATTATACCTCCCCCTCTTAATTTTTCCAACCTCTTTTTCTATTTTTGCTGGCATTTCTTTTTCTCTTAATATAAAAGCTTTTAATAAACCAATAATAACACGTGTCATTTTCTCATTAAATATACTACTCTCGCTGAACAATTTCTCTAGCTACCGAGGTTTTGCTTGTAAGCGTGTGCGGCGTATTAATAACGTCAAACAACTTTCACCCATGTACACGTTATATACGTTTTAAATATTACAAATAATAATACGTCACAAAATAAATTTATTTTAGTAAAAATACAAAATTATTTTTTCTTTTTATTTTCATTCCATTGATATTGGTTGGTGTAGAGTTGATAGCCTAATTACAATTTACACTGTGTAGCAGAGTCTACTGTTCAGTATTTCATAAATGTGATTCGGGCCATGGGCCCTCTACTAGTTGGGTTTGATGTAGATCCACTTAGTAACAATATTCCTAAACCAATTTTAATTGTTTTTTTGCTTCTGAAAATTAACATAAAAATAAATAGTGAACATATGCTTTTTTATTTTTCTTAGGATATGTTTGGTTGAGAATTGGCTTCCTGATTAAATTCAATAATTTAGAAATTAATGAATGGTTATGTTTTGATTTGTAATTTAATAAAAAAATGTAGATAATGATAAAAATGCAAGTTTGGTGATTTTCATAGCTTTGTCTTTAACATTTTTTTATGGGTTACTCATATCAATTAAATCTTCTATTATTGTGGTTGGTATTTATAAATGACTATAGCTCTAGACGTCAATAAAGAGATGTCTGATATGCAGTTTTTTCTTTTCTTTTTGTGATCCTTATCCTTTCTAAAAATATATTTTTTTTATACTAAGAAATTATGTAACTTTTTACATAGTAAATAAATAAATCTAATTTTCCTTCCTAATAATTTTTTATGCATTAATTTTTAATTGAGTAATGTTGTGAGTAACAACACACTTAATGATGAATTTCTAACTGTATTAATTTTTATTGAATTTAGAATTTATTTGAATTGAATTCATTTATCAATAATTTGAACGGTGGATAATTTAGAAAAAAAAAAGTAATCCACATAGGTTTACAATTTTGCTCCACGCTTCTGACAGTTTTGTTCTACCACAGTCTAAATTAGAAATATATTGTATAAAATCATATAATTTTACGAGTTGAATTTCAATTTTGACTACAAAAATGTTGATATTATTGAAATGGTTTAGAAAATTTAAAGAATAATATTTGAAATAAATAGGACATACTTAAAATAAGAAAAAAAATAATAAATACAATAATTTTTATGAAAGGTTTTAGTTTGATTTGTATTATTCAAAAAATGTATTTATAAGTTTTATAGTGTATATTGCAACGAATAATCATAAATAAACATATTTTGAAGAAAAAATTTTGGAATCGCTATCAAAATTTATTTTGAAAAACTAAAAAAACTATAAAATAAGATATAGTCTACGAAAACCGATTCAGATGTATAAAAAAAATATTAACACCAATACCTGTCTAAAGATTAAATGTATAAACTTGATATAGTTTTTCAGAATTGATCTCACTCTTATATATTCTTATTCGAAATGAGGAATCAGGATTATCTAATTCTTGATGTATTTAGTTTTTAAAGAGTTTGAATATTTTTTGGTATTTTTATGATTGAAAAAAAATGAAAATAATAAGTATTAGGCAATGATCATATAGACACCAAAAAAATTGTACTTTTTAAAGTTTTTTATTTAGTTTTTTACCTTTGTTTATAAAAAAAGAGATTTGAAAATGGGTGTCATACAATACGAGGGATCAAACCAAAAAACAATAGAAAATACATTTTTTTTATGATTTTTAAGATGTGATATTTGTGAATAATAAAAATAATGTCTCTCTAACAAAATTTCAAAGTTAAATATAAAAGAAAAACACAAATAATATTAAGACTTAATACAGTGCCTAAATCAAAAAGAAAATGGAAGTGACATACCTTTAAAATTTTTAGTGCTCTAATGATTTCTTCCCTTGTTATCTGATCCATATGTATCTCTTTTTTTTTTTGTTTTTTTATGTCTCTCCTTTTTACTATGAAATGAGTATTTATACACACATTAAAATATCTTTGTAATTATTTTTTAATTGTGAATTAATTAACAATGAATAATAATAGAAAAAATTGGTCTTAATAATAATGTATTTTAAAAATTAATCAAATCAAATAATATCTGACATTTTGATCTTAATTTTGCAAATCATTATAATCATATATTTTTTTTAAAGTGACACAACAAATCATAATATAATATGATATATCAATTTTAATTAAAATCACCTTTCTTTTAAAAGAGTGAGGTGCCATGTAAAGGGTGTGAAGAAGAAAAATAAGTAAGAATATGTATAAAACTCTTTGAACGGTTGGACTGACAAAATGATTAAAAACAATTGAGCTATTTTATTTTATTATTTTCTATTCTTTATAGTTTAAAAATTTAAAAAAAAATTATTTTATTTTTTTTTCTTTTCACTTACCATTAATTGAATATATATATATATATATATATATATATATATATATATTAAATGAATTTATTTACTTGAGTGTTAAACCCGTAATATGACGGGTGACTTATCTTAAAATAAGAAGGCATATTATTTTGTATTATCTAAGGGTGTTTTCTCTTTAAAATCAATATTTTGTATTCCAAATTCTTTTTAATCCCTTCATCACTAAAAACGTAGTATGACCACTAGAATCCAATTTGAACATTACTCATTATTCAAGTTTAAAACCAAAATGAACATTTACCAAATTAATCCAAACATATATAAGTAGAATTTCAACCAAAGGTACAATATATATATAGTAAAAATATAATTCATGATCACAAAAATAACCTATTTATAACTAAAAGTAACTTTCTTAATGTGGATTTGCTTGAATTCCAAGCTATAGAAAAAATATATCTAAGTACAATTTTGTACATTATTTATAGTTTATATTACTATAAATAGTACAATCAAGCTTAACCATTTCAAATCCAATATTCAAATTCAAAATCTATACTAAACAATATTAGTCAAATCATTGCAAATATATTCAAAATGCAATTATAATCAATCCAATATCAAACATATTCTATAAATATAATTTAGGTTTCAATATCATTTTGATTTTATTAAAACATAAAAATATGTAAATTACACACTTTGAATATATATATATATATATATATATATATATATATATAATATATATATATATATATATATATATATATAATATATATATATATATATATATATATATATATATATAATATACGTCAAACACAAAAAAGGCACAAAAGAAGATATCTTAAACCATTTACAAAATTCTTTTATCTTCAAAATCAATGGATTGTTCGTGTATTACAGTATGATCATGGAAAAATCATAATTACATGATCATAAGTATACCAAAAGTCACACATATTATTCATATAAAATATATAATTGATTGTGTTTCATGCGAATAATATTAAGAATTATATACTAAATCTGGCATAATATCGAGTTTGTCTAATAATTTAATTTCTCTCAGTATAGATTTTCTTTAGCAATGACACCATGATTTTGTTCGTTTTTTATATAATATAACGATTAGATATATTATTTTTATTTTATATTTATTTTTTATCTTTAGTTAATTTATTATTATTTTTATTTTGTATTTTGCGCTTAAATTATATTTCTTTTATTTTAAATAGAAGACTTTATGTATATATTTAACACAAGAAAGATTAATCCTATATATAATTTTTATTATATTCAATATGCTATTAGAGAATAAAGTTTTTTTGAGAAAAAAGTTTTGGGTATCTAATTTTTACTATATTCAACAATAACAAATATTCATAAGTTTTTAAAATCATACAATCAATAATGTACAATCAAGATCTTAGTCATAAATGATAGGATATTTAATAAAATATTTGATTTTGTTTAACTCTCGTCACGTTATAATTTTAACTCATAAAACTCAATTTACCATTAACACAAAATTTATCATCAAATTCTCAAGCTTAATAATACCCTTTTAGTCTCTATTTAATGACACTTTAGTTATCACTTATCTATATGAGAAATCATTCATTCCATCTTTTATTATAAAATAAGTAATAGAATATAATATAGATTCAAAACTTAATTCACTAACATGTTAAAAGAATGTTAAGGAATATAGATAAAAAAGCATATTGAGAAATTATATTTCATATCACTTAAATTATATTCTTATGAGTCATTTTTGTTAAGAAAATTTTTAATAACGTAAACAAGTGCAATCACTTAAATTATATATATATATATATATATATATATATGGGTTTGCTAATGCGCGTATGCCTGTTTTTCAGTTACTACATTTTAGCAATATGTACCGGGTTTTAGTAGACAAAAATACTTTTATACTCATCTCTCTCATTCCTCTCAACCTTTTCTCTTTCATCTCTCACTCCAACATTTTAACAATCATACAAAAAATGATTTTATAATGAGTTTTCATTTTAAAATTTTTGTCTTATCTAATTTTATTCAATTTTTCACAAGCATAAAGGAATTGGTAATTAACCTGGAAAAAATAAAAAATACTCGTTATTAAACAATTTCTTACAAAAACATGATTTTATAATGAGTTTTCATTTTATAATTTTTATCTTATTATTTTATCTAATTTTCACAAGCATAATGACATCCGAAGGAATTGGTAATTGGCCTAGAGGATTTTTTTTAGACATGATTATTCAACATACGCAA